TTACACCTGCAATCCGTCACAATTTAGACCAACCACATTTCAAATGCTCAGCAGCCACACGTGTTTAGTGGCTATTCTGTCAACGGGCACATCTATTCTCAATTGTTGTCTCTCAATTATATGGTCTCTCTGCTCCCTAGCAGCCCCACCCCAGTCCTCAGTAATTCATATCAACAGCTCCCCAACAACTCAAGTCCTGGTCCCGTCATCTTGCCACTGCACCCTGCCACACCTCCTCCTCACACGGTGCCAGCCAGTGACCCAGCAGCTTTGTTTCCAGTAACATGCCAGCCCACAATAATCCAGCCTCAGCCTCCCACTCCCCCAGCTCCCCTGTGCTCCGGTAACCCCATTCTGCCCCCGATCTAGCCCCTCTGTCTTCAGCAACCCAGCCCCCTCCCTCAGTAACCCACTCCTTTCATGGGTGGCCTGGCCTCTGCCTGGGGCCTAGCCCACTCTTTCTGCCAGCCCCGACATGTGGCCCCAGACTTCACTGGGTCTGCCCCCACCCCCACCCTCAGGAAAGAAGAGGAGCGACAGAAGCAGGAGGAGATGCAGCGGGAGAAGGAGCAGTCAGAGAAGCTGCGGACGCTGGGTTATGATGAGAGCAAGCTGGCACCCTGGCAGCGACAGGTCATCCTGAAGAAGGGGGACATCGCTAAGTACTAGAAGCCAGCCCTCTTGCCAGGGGCCCCCTGCCCCAACCCCAGCCAGCCAGGCCCCAGTGGAAGGGCTGGGAGCCTCACAGCCCTCCCCTCCCGCGCTGGAAACCCTCCCCGACCCCCCACCCTGGCCCCTGCATCCCCAGCCCTTGGCGACACTGGAGTGCACCCACCGCCCCAGTCGCCCAGAAAAAGTGCCCAAGCTGCTGATGCAAACAACAACAAAAAAAATGCTGCTTATTTGCATGCGACTTACATATGTTTGCATGTTCCTTGACTATCAAAGAGTGCAGAGCTCTCCCCAGCCCCGTGGATGGTTGACTCTGTTTTCCTGCGGGGCTCAGCCCCCTCCAGGATGCAGCCCCCTCCCCCGCACCCCGGAACCGGTGTCGCAGGCGCATCCTGGGTGGAGGCAGGCCCCGAGCTCGGGGAAGGGGTTTTCCCTCACTCCCTGACCCAGATCTACGCCGGCCCAGCCAGGGCGTCATTTCTAATCCCCGCCGAGGGTTTCCTCTCAGTCATTTGTTTACCAGAAACGACGAAAACTGCCTGTCTGCCGGGCCGCAGTTGCGGCTCCCAGGACCCCACTCTGCCCCACCTCCCTCAAGTCTGCGCCCATCCTCAGCCAGGCCCCCTCCCTTCCCAGACCCTGTCACTGTCCCGGTAGAGTGAATAGAGGATGAGGGGCCCCAACCCTGTGTCTCCAGCTGCTGCACCCCACCCGACCCTGTCCCTGCCACCTCACAGCCCCATTAAAGCACTCTCATCCGCCCGGGGCTCCCGTGCACTCACTGACTGTGGCTGCGGCTTGCTCTCTTCTCGGGGTAATTGGGCCAGAGTGGACTCGGGAGGGGCAGGCTTGGGAGCTAAGGCCACAATGGACTCCACCATGGGTGCCAGACCCAGGGGTGACAAGATTCCTGACCCCTTCGACTACCCCAGGAAAACAAGTCCAGGTCACTTAACACCCCCAGCCCCGCAGAAACGCCAAGAAGTCGCCGCTTTTTTTTTCCCACAGGTTTAATACCACAATTTCAGCCGAACTCTGGCCAAGAAACAGAAATTTCTTGACCCCCTCTCGACATTGGTCCGTGCTTCTTCACCTTGGCTGGAGCGATAGGGGCGAGCTGGGGAGGGGCCGGCTGGTGCTGCTACGCAGGGCCGTGCCAGTGGCTTAATAAGTGACATAAAATGTCTACACTCATAAGTAACCGTACTTAGGGCTTCTGCAAGGGCCACCAGAGCGCCTGGGTGGCGAGTGGGCGCCGTGTCACGGGCCGCGCTGCAGGCGGCTGCGCAAGTCCTCTGCACAGCCGTCCAGCCCCATGCGCTCCAGGGCCGCGTAGACGGCGCCCAGGCCCGCGGGCTGCTGCTGGCGCCAGCGCTTGAGCATCTCGTACTGCTGGTCTCGGAAGCGGCCGATCTCCACCTCCACGGCTTCGATCTCCGCCTCACGCAGCCCCAGCGTGCGCACGAACTCCTTCCAGCGCCGGGCGGGGACCGCATCCATCACGTCGTAGAGCTGCGGGCCGGGCTGCAGCATTACTGCTGGCGAGCCCGCTGAGGACTCTGGCGAGAGCGTGGGCACAGGAGCGGGGCCTGGGGCAGAGCCAGAGAGAGCCAATGGGGTACGCGGGCTGCGGTCAGTAGGCGGAGTCAGGGGCGTTCGTGAAGGTACCCTAGGCCAGAAACCCGCTGGATCCCGCCGGTCAGGGCACAGAGGATGGACCCGGTCAGTTAGGGGGCGGAAAGTGGATATGTTGTGAAACTGCAATTTCCTGCCTCAGACAGGAGAATGAGGTCAAGGCCTCGGGCCACTGACATCCCTTACCAAGAGCTCTGTTGGGCAACTGGTCCCAGGACCATGTCACCTGCGGGCAGAGGACCTCCTGGGACTGGGGGCAGCCAGGGGTCCAGCCGTTGTCCACCAACTGAACGGTGCCGATCTTCTCACTGCTGTCAGAAGGCACTAGAAGGGTGTGGGCGCTGTCCAAGGGTGACAGATGGGTGGCCTGGAAGCCAAGAGGGGCCCCAGGTCAGTCCTGCTTGCTAAGGCCCCTTAGTTGCAGTGCCTGTCCAGGAGGGGACAGTCCCTGGTTCAGTCAGCAGACACCCCGCAATGACACCTCCCCAAGTTGGCCCTGCTCTCACTATGGCCCAGCAGAATTCTTGCCTCTGCCTTGAGTCCCCTGCCCCTGTCTCCTTCCTACTGTCCCGCAGCACCATGGGGCATTCCCTCCATTGGACTGTTAGCGCCTGTGTACATGTCTGAACCCCAGCTGACTGAGCACCCCTTGAGGGCAGGCACTGTGCTGGGCTAATCCACTGATGACTCAGCTCCCAACACCTCCATCCACCAGGGCTATCCTGTGCTGGCCACGTGCCAAGCTCTAGGGATCACAATAAGGCTTGATCTTCCAGCTCTAGAAGGCAGGCCCGAATCACACAGTGAAGTTCTTACCAGTGGTGGGGTCAGAGCCTCCATCCCAGCTTCATCTGCTGACACAGAGAGACTGCAGTCAGTCAGCAACCAGGCAGGCCTCCTGGACCTGGGTGCTGGTGCAGCTCCTCTAGGGTTCCTCTGCACCCACACTCCCTGCCTCAGTTTCCCCTTCTGTATCAGCATTGAGTAGACTCTGGGCTACCCATCCTGACCCTGCGTGTACTTACCAGTAACCCTGGGCTTGTGAGGCCAGCAGTGGCGGTAAGTGTAGGTCAGGGTGGCCCCAAGCAGGAGGGGGAACACAAGGCCAGCCAGGAGCACCTGGACCCAGAACACTGAAAGCAGCTGGTGGGTGTTGGGTGGTAACCACCCCCACCCACCTCCGCTTGGCCCATCCCAGTTCTCCCACTTGCATTCCCAGCACACCACCTACTCTGCCTCCAGCCACAGACAGTGGCACAGCGCTCTGGACAGCTCCCCAGGGTGCTCCTGCAAGGGAGGGGGGTGGCCTGAGGGATGAGGGGGTGCACACCAGGAGGGGCTCCCCAAGACTGCCCAGCATCTGCTCCACCCTAGAGGCCCTTCCCTCCCCAGGCCTCTCTCCTGTGAGCCTCACTCTACCCAAGAATGCTCCTGTCATTGTGTCCCCAGTAACAATAACGGCAGATAATATTCATTGAGCTTCTTCTAGACTACCTGAAGAGTCACTAGAATGTCAACCCCAAAAGGACAGGGATTTTTGCCTATTTTGTTCTCTATTGTATCCCCAGCACCTAGAACAGTGTCTAGAACATAGCAGATGTTCAATAAAGACTTGAATGGAAGCCGGGCGAGGTGGCTCACACCTGGAATTCCAGCACTTTGGAAGGCCAAGGTGGATGAATCACAAGGTCAAGAGATCAAGACCATCTTGGTCAACATGATGAAACCCCGTCTCCACTAAAAATACAAAAATTGGCCAGGCATGGTGGCATGCGCCTATAGTCCCAGCTGCTTGGGAGACTGAGGCAGGAGAATCACTTGAACGTGGGTGGCGGAGGTTGCAGTGAGCCGAGATCGAACCACTGTACTCCAGTCTGGGTGACAGAGCATGACTCCATCTCAAAAAAAAAAAAAAAAAAAAAGACTTGAATGGATACAGAAAGTCCCTTACCTCTAATCAAAGATCAAAGGCCTGTGAAGAACCTACTAACATCCCCATGTTCAGAAAGGGCCACCACACATCAGATAGGTTAATTCTCTGAACTTGCCGAAGATACCCTAGAGAACCTGCGGCACAATCCTGACTCTAGGCCCAAGTTTGTTTGTATTTATTGATTTTAATAGATGAGGTCTCGCTCTGCTGCCCAGGCTGAAGTGCGTTGGCACTATCATAGCCCACTGCAGCCTCAACCTCCTTCAGCCCAAGTTTTAAAGCTGTATCAATGTGACTCTGTATAAGTGACAAATCCATCCATAATATCTGGCTGGAAGGATGGTTGGGTGGGGGCATGCTGGCTGAAAGTGAAGGCATACACCCTTATTTATCTGGCTAAGGTGGATACAGATTTCTCTTTTGCCATCTAAGTTTGCCTGAAGTGGGCCCCACCCACCACAGAACCAAGCTCTCTACTCCCTGTCCCCTCTTCCCATTCCTGAACTGGCAGCACCTGCCCCACCCCAGGCCCCCACCTTGCTCCCAGCAGCCCTTCCCTCCATCCCAAGACAGCTAGGAATTACGTGGGGCAGGACACGCAGGCATCACCGTGTTCATAGAAGCCGGGCAGGCAGGTCCCACAGTCAGTATCATAGCGGGAACCTGCAGTCCAGGAGAGGCGTGGGTCAGCATGGGACAGGAGTAAGGCAGGCAGGGGAAGGGGGTCTGGGAGTAGATAGCCCTGGGTGGGGGTACTCACAGAGTGGCCTCGTGTGGCGGTGCAGGGCCCTGCAGTCTAGGCAGGGTCGGCAGTAGAAGGGTGAGCTGCTGATACACTGGCTGACCTGGCACTCCATAAACCAGCCTGGCTTACAGCCACAGTGGGTGTCTGCCACTGCAGAACAGTTCTCCAGGGCCACCTGAGAGGCTGGTGGGGTGCAGGGAGATGGGGAATGGAGAGTTGGTCAGGGCCAGAGGCTCCCGTGGAGTGGCAAAGGCAGAGGCAGACTTCCCCCACCAAGATAATGGGGACAGGAATAGGCGAGAGACGGACAAGTGCAGGGCTACCCTAAAACACAAGCTCAGAGATCAAGGCCAACCAGAGGCCAACGCACATGGACAGACGCAAAGGTCACCAGGAAGAGAGAAGGGGCAAGGGCACCCCGAAGGAGGATCAGGGTGGAGGGTTCTGGCAAGGGTGGGCACAGGACCCTCACACCCCAAGGTTGGGCCCAAGCCAGCCACTTCCTTCTGAAAGGCCTGTCCTTAGGAGCCCCCTGCCAAGCACTGAGAAGCCCCTCACCCTGCTCATCACAGACTTGGCAGCGGGCACATTCAGAATTATGGTGGTTCTCCCAGGCCAAGAAGCTGTCTCGAGGACACGGAAGGCAAGTAGAGTTCCCGCAGGGCTCCGTGCAGGGGGCCTTCAGGTAGTGCCCTGCGGAACCAGGCAGGGGTCAGGCAGGCAGAGGGGCTGCCCAGCACCCCCCCACCTGCTCCCCGCCATGCACTCCCTCCTTCCTTCCTTCTCTCCAGCTCCCTACTTCTCTGTCAGCACCCCCCCACCTCCTCCGCCAGTCTCCTCTTACCTCCCTGGCCTGCCCGCCACCTCTCCAGCCCCCTCTCCAGCCCGGCCTGCCCCATGCCCCTCCCACCCCTGTGGCCACTTACCCGCTGGGCAGCCCCTGCAACAAAACAGACCAATCTTCTTGTAGAAGTCACCGGCACAGTCACACCTGGGGCTACGAGTGCCACCCTGGGCCTGGGGCACCAGCAGCACCAAGAGGAGCTCCTGGGGGACAGGTGCCGCTGACTCTCTGCGCAGCTGCCCACGTGGGGCCTCTCCCTGCCACGTCTCCTCCGTTTCAGAGGCCCCAGCATTTGCCCACAGAGCACCCCACTTCCCAGGCCCCGGGCAGAAGGGGTGCCCAGGGTGGAGATGGGACTAACTTCCTTCCCCCGTGCACACACTGGGCTTGGGAGGGGCAGAGGAGGGGGCTCTTGCCAGTCCCGCACAAGTTTTCCGCCACCAGGGCAGGGACCCGGCAGCGCCCCCACCCCTACCCATGCTTTCTGCTGGGGAGGAACACTGATGATTCTCTGCCTGGGGCCCTCAGACCCCCTGGGAGGGGTTTCCTCTCAGTGGAAGGGCCTCGCCCTGGCGGAGCCTCCAACTAGGTCGGAAGGGGCGGCCAGCCCAGCCCCCAGCGAGG